ATAGATAGATAGATAGATAGATAAATAAATAAATAAATAAATAAATATTTAGTTGTTAAACCTCTGTACAAGAGCTTTTCATAGCATAGTGTATATATGATATATGTTGTTTTTTTACTGTCGCTGCACAATGATCACATGGTGTTAGTCAGTTCAAGTTTAGATGATCAGATGCCACAATATAGAACGCAGACTATGCTACGTTTTTTCTCTAGTTTTATTGATTCCACAGCGAAATTATGTCGGTATCTTTGACTTTGTTTCTGCGTGCCATCTCAAGATCTTTCAACTGAGGAAAGAACGCCTGGTTAATCCTTTTTGTATAACCGTCAAATTCAAAATGGCGGCAAAATGTTCAATGATTGCGACTCAATATCTCGAAAACGAATACGGTGACCTCCTATTTTCTTATTCTTTAAATCGACATATAAATTATTCGTCAAAATAAAATAAAAACCATTAATTCAGGAGAAAAAAGACGCAAAATAACCAAAAAATCTACAGTGATTATTTAAAGTGCAGTAAGACAAGCTACTACATAAATCTGATTGAAGACAGCAAGGGAGACTCAAGCAAACTATGCAGTTATTAAATCTACCTGCCGTAAAAAATATCCGGCCTCAGCTCCTAATTGCATAATCTTGGACAAAGTTCAGTTTTTCTAGGGCCTAAGTCCATTGTGAGCAAAGCTACTTTGGGTCACAATTTCCAGTAGTATTCATGCCTTATTTGTTGAGAGAAAGAGAAGACTGAATAGATATAAGCTAGCTGTTGTCACCTTGTCACCTTGTAGTATTCATGCCTTATTTGTTGAGAGAAAGAGAAGACTGAATAGATATAAGCTAGCTGTAAGTAAAAATGAACCTTTTTAATTTATTTTAAATCGCCATATCAGTCTATTTGAAATTTTAAACGCATATTAGTTATGACATGTCTTTCCCGCCATTTTGAAGATAATGTAAAGATTGGTTTTCCTTCGCAAACAGATGTCTAGAAAAGTTATGTATTGAACTTCGTAGCTTCTGGTATTATACCTGACATGTTTCAGAATTACAGCATCATATTAGTACACTTATGATCTAATATAATATCCTTAAAATTTTGATTTGTTTCTAAAAGCGTATAATAATTTTTTTGCACTACAGTAGAATGGGTCTTCATTCAAAGGAGGCGAGGAAACATTACAACAAGAAAAGAAATCAAATGTGACTAAAAAAAGGAGCCTGCCAGCATTAACGAATTACCCCTCATTTCTGAATCAGATCCAAACCTGAATGATGAGGCAGAGACTGATGCTATACATGTAACTCAAACAGCTCGAATTCCATATAAACCATAGCAGCTCAAATTCAACAAACACAAACTGCGCCAAGTCARTTCCCTGCAATTTCAGAAAGCCAATCAGCTCTAACACTACTCACCAAGACCTACAAAATAGAAGAAGAGAACCAAGAAGAGAATGGAATTGGAAATGGTCTTGTACTATCTTTATGGTGAAGGCCAACCATGGTCGACACCGCCTATGCTACTTTGTATTGCAAGAATGCATAAGTAAAATGTGCTTGGTTTTTTTAATTAATTATGAAAGAATTTCATTTTTGAGAATTTATCTGTAATTGAAATAAGTAAGGTTTGTATAATCAACTGCTCCACATATTGATCAGCCAGCATTTGTTTTCTAACCTGAACAGTTAGCTGCATGATTCATTAGGTCTTCACCCTCTTAATCATCTTGTTTGGACAATTTATTTAATAGTGCCATTATAAATGTTGAAAGATCTTTAGCACTTTACATACTCAGTGAGTGACCACTTTCATAGTGAGATCTTAAAACTGGGCTGTGAAGTGGAGTGGCAGCTACATTTATACATGTGCTCTATTGGATAGAAAATTGAAATTTAAAGAAAGGATTGTTTTCGATTGAGTC